ACCCCCCCGAGCTGAGACCCCCCTCCCTTTATTACGAAATCCGGAGTACCCCCCCCAACCCGAAATTCGGGTCTTCGGGTTGGGTCGGGGTGGCCTGGCAGGTCGTCAGTTCCGGGGGTGCCCGGCTCGCCTGGAGCAGCCGCCGGAGAGCCGAGCTGTTGCCCGAAGGCCCAACGGTTCCTGGGGCAGCGGCAGAGGTGTGTGGCGCTCGGGGGTTCGAGGTCCGAGGTGCTCGGAGGCTTCCGTGGGTCCTCGGTGGTGTTCTAGCCTTAAGTCGGGCCCGTCCCTCTACAGGGGGAACATTCAAGAATAGCCAAAAAATAGCCTGGGGACTATTTTTTGACCATGTTCGGGCATTTTTGAGGCATTTTCTGGGGTATCGTTAATTTTTCGTCCAAAATCGCCCTGCAGGGGGACAGGCCCGACTTAATTCTAGCCTCGGGGTGTCTTCCAGCGGCTGCGCGCAGGGGTTCGGGGCCCGAGGTTCTCGGACGCTTTCGTGGGCTCTCGGCGGCTCTCGAGCCTCGGGATGTCTTCCCGCAGCTGCGCTCGGGGCTTCGGGGCCCGAGGTGCTTGGACGCTCTCGTGGGTGCTCGGCGGCTCTTCGAGCCTCGGCACGTCTTCCAGCGGCCGTGCCTCGCCGAGGGCCTGCCGGGGGTGCCCAGATCCGTCCCGATCGGCCGTCGGAGATCCGAATCACTGGGGCGAGGTGCAAGGTTTAGGGTCGGGCCTGTCCCTCCACAGGAGGAATATTCAAACACAGTCAAAACGTATTCAGTGGACGATCTTTTGAGTATGTCTATATATATATATATATATATATATATATATATATATATATATCTATATATATATATATATATATATATATATATATATATATATGTATTTTATTTATTTATATATATATATATATATATGTGTGTGTGTGTGTGCAATTTCTGAGTATTTTCTGGCTTTTCTAGATTTTTCCTCGAATATCCCCCTGTAGGGGGGCAGACCCGACTTAGTGCAAGGTTCGACTCTCGCCTGAGCTTCTCCTGAACAGGACTGGGTGCCTTGACGAAACGGCTTCGCGTGTCGGGGTGGTCATTGAATCGCTTCGCTCATTCCGCCGGCCCTGGAGCCCTCTTCAGGGCCTCTTGGGGGCCTCTTGGGGACCTCTTTCAGGAGGGAACAAAAACACACAGACACAATTCATCGTCGATTCCCCAGAAAATATGGGAAAATATGGGCAGTGGGGGGAAGACGAAACCCCCGAAAAATATGGGAACATATGGCGGATATCTTTACTCGTGTGTATTTATTTGAGTGTCCTGGGGCCCCTTCGATCTTGGGAGTCTCCCCGGGGTCCCTGGGCGGTGCGTCCTGGGGCACCCATGGGCCCCTTTGGGGGGCTTCGCGCCATGCCGACGAGGGCGCTCCTCCCGGCGGCTGCCCTCTGGCCGCCTTCTCCCCGCGGCGCTCGCTCCGCGCCCGCGGGCGGACGCCACCCGCGAGCCCCCGTCCCCTTCCAAAGCTTCGGTCGGGCCTGCCCCCCTACAGGGGGCGTATCCCAAAACAGTAAAACAAGATAGCCTGGGGACTATTTTTTGAGTTTTTTATGTTTCGGCCTCTTCTGAGCATTTTTTGTTTTTTTTCATTTATCTTCCAAAATCTTTGGGGAGCATTCAAGAACAGTAAAAAATAGTCAGGGAACTATTTTTTGAGTTTTCTATGTTTGGGCATCCTCTGAGCATTTTTTTTTTGGTATCTCTCGCCCAAAATCCCCCTGGTAGGGGGGCAGGCCCGACCTCATTCAGGGCATCCGATGTGTTGCTCTGGGTCGAGACGGAGTCCCCGGAGCCCTGCGCCACTTCCCTGGGGCCGGCCCTTCGTCCCCGATCGTTTTCTGACGGTCCTGGGGCCCGGCGAGGGCCCCCAGACGTTGAAGGTCGTTGGTCGGGGGCGGAAAAGAGGGGGGTGATGACTAGGGGGGGGTGGATATCATGGCGTGGGCCATGGTATTTCCCCAGATTTCATGGCGCCTCTTCTCATTTCATTACGTCCCTGGCCCCCCCGCTGGGCCGCGCACATGCCGCCGGTCATGATTTGCACCCCCCCCTCTTTGACGCCCCCCTCTTTGCCGCTCCCGAGTTGGGGGGGCAGCGTTGTTTCCAGGGCCGGATCCCCGTACGCTCGGCGGGCGCGCTTGATCGGTCAGCAGCAAGCCTTACCGCCGCCCTTCGCGAGAAGCTCTGATTTCAGGTTTACTCTTGCCGACGGTTGGGCTGCTCATGCTTGCTCTTGCCCTACAAAAGCAGTGCCCTCTCCCCCGTCGCCCCAGAAACACAGATCGCGTTCGCTGCCCCTCAGCGAGCTTCAACGCAGACGCCGGAAACAGCCAGAGGCCGTCCCGATTTCTTTCACTGCGTTGGAGGCCTGGGTCCTCCCCTGCGGCCCCCAGGGCCCGTCTCGGTCCGATCGATCCGATTCGATATCGATTCCGTATGGTTTAACGGGCGAAGAACGGTGTAACATAAACTTTTTCGCTGTCGGGGGCGCCTGCCCCTGGGCGGCTGGAAAGTTTATACCCTTACGGTGGCACCGTAGGGGTACAACATTTTCCAGCCGCCCAGGGGCAGGTGTCCCCAACGGCGGAAAGGTTATTTTATACCGTTCTTCGCTCGCTGAATGGTTCTGTCCGATTCGATTCCGAGGTTCCGACGGTCCGATGCGGCCCCATGTTCGCATGGCGTTGCTGTGCATCCCGGCGCCTGGCGCAGCCGATCTGAGCCGAGCTCGACCCCATGCCGATGCGGCCCCGGTCCGACGTGTATGCCGATCGGGCCTGGCGTCCCGACGCGATGCGGATTGATCCTGGCGTCTTACTCCAGATTTCGTAATAAAATGGAGGGGGTCTCAACCCTCCCAGACGAGAAGTTTTAGACCCTCCCAGACCATCCATGAAAGGGCGGCCCTTTGCCCAGACCCCCCCGAACCCTCCAAGACAGCTCAAATCAGACCCCCCCCAAATGTGACCCCCCTGACTTTATTATGGAATCCGGAGTACCCTTCCCACCCCACCCTGCCCCTCTTGCCATGGTGCCCAGCCCCTTCCAGCCCAAAAAGGTATGTGACCGAACAAGTGTGTGACCGAGCACGTGCCCGAACTTATTACCTAACACATGGTGTGACCGACGGTGGACGTCGTAATCATTTCGTCATCAAGCATGGTAAAACCCTAACCTTACGTCGGGCGTGTCCCTCCTCAGGAGGAATATTCAAAACTAGTCCAAAGTAGTCTGAGGACGATGTTTGATGATTTTTTTATTGGTTTGTATTTTTTGTTTGTCGTCCAGAATCCGCTTGTAGGAGGACATGCCCGACCAAATCTGAATCAATCAACACCATCAATTCGTGGCCTAACTTAGATCCAGGGCTGGTTGGGATACCCCTGAGCATATGGGTGGCTTCGTCTGGCACATCTGCGAACCAGACCCCCTGTACCTGATGCTTTTGGCCCTCCTTACTCAGGCCCTCTCCCAAAGCGTTAGGGGGCACTTTAACTGCTTATCCTTCTGGACCCAAGAGCTCGGGTCACCCTCGGGCGCGTTCGGGCAAGAGCTGCCCTCATGCTGTTGGCCCTGTGAACTCAGGCCCCCTCCCAAGTGGTTCGGGATACGTTTATTGCCTATCCTCCTGGAACCACGAACTCGGGCCACGCTCGGGCGCGTTCGGGCAAGCGCTGCCCTCACGCTGTTGGCCCTGTGAACTCAGGCCCCCTCCCAAGGGGTTCGGGATACGTTTATTACGTATCCTCAGGAGGGGAAAAAACATACAGACACAATGAATCGTTGATCTCCCCGCTTAATCCGGCTAACTCCTGCTCAATCAGACTTTCTCGGTGAGCCGGGAGGACTTCCGAGCCTTCTGTCGACCACACGTAAGAGTGACCCTTCGCCGGAGTGACCTTTGGTGCGGGCTCATCGGGCTCTCCCCGATCGCCGAGCGCGATGCGATGTAAGCGGCCCGCGCCCTTGGATTTGGCTCCCCCGCGCCCCCGAAAGCTGCGCACCAAAGGTCACCCTTACCCAGGGTCACTCTTACGTCTAGCCGATTCTGATCGGGAGCCTCGAGACGGGGGTCAAGGCAAACGGGGGTCAACCCGGGCACCGGACCCTGCAGGATCCTGCGAAGACCCCCTCTGGCTGACCCGGATTTGCGAGCCGCTCGTGGCCGCGAGGCGGCCGCGCAGATTGGCTGACACGGGTTTGCGAAGATCTGCGTTGCAGTCTTCTTTCTTGCATTGCAGGTTTTTGGTTTCCTGCTGACCCGGGTCTGGATTGACCCGGGTCAGAAGATCCCCGATCTGAGAAGGTCTTCTCAGGGGCAACGATAGGGGGGGACAGGCATATGAGGGGGTGCATCGACCCTCAATCGCCCACTGATCGCTGACAGGGGCCCGATAGCCCCAGCCTGCCCAGGAGCGTGCAGACTCACTATCGGAGGCCTGTCGCCGATCTATCGGCGATGTTATCGCCGTATTCCAGGTCGATGTCCCCCCCCTATCCCTATCCCCCCTGGCGTTGCCTCTCACCTCCTCCTCCTCCTCCTCCTCCTCCTCCTCCTCCTCCTCCTTTGTGGGCCCCGGAAACGGCAGGGCCGTTTTTTCACCGTTTCCCAAAAATTGTCCCTCGAAAATTGAAACGGCAAAAAAACGGCGACCGGAAACTGCAAGAAAACGGCTCCGGGATTGGAACCGGAGCCGGAACCGGTTGAAAAACGGCGACGGAACCGGTGAAAAAAACGGCGTCGGAACCGGGAAAAAAACCGCAAAACGGAACTGGTAAAAAAATTGCCCTGTCGTTTCCAGGGCCCACTAAGTCCTCCTCCTCCTCCTCCTCCTCCTCTTCCTCCCCCCCTCCCCTCCCCCTCCTCCTCCCCTCCCCCTCCCCTCCCCCTCCCCCCTCCCCTCCCCCCTCCCCCTCCCTCCCCCCTCCCGCCGCTGGCCGGCTCGAAAAGTCGCAGAGCCTCGGCGCGCGGGCCGACGCTTGGCGTACGGCCGCGCGGGGCTCCGCGCGCGCCCCTCGCGGCGCGATGCCCGAGCAGGCGGCAGCACGCCTGAAGCCCGGGGCCCGCAGGCTGCTCGTCGTCGTCGTCGTCGTCGGCGTCCTCGTCCCTCCTCCCTCCTCCCCGTCCTCCCGTCCTCCTCCTCCTCCCTCCCCCCCCCCCTCCCCTCCCCCCCTCCCTCCCTCCTCCCTCCCTCCTCCCTCCCCTCCTCTCCTCTCCTCTGTCTCCCCTCCTCCTGCCTCCTCCCGCTTCCTCCCTTCCCCTCCTGTATCTCTCCCTCATCCTCCTTCTCCTCCTTTACCTTTTTCTCCTTCTCCTGGTCCTTATCCTCCTCCTCCTCCTCGTCCTCCTCCTCGTCCTCCTCCTCCCTCCTCCTTCCTCCCCCTCCTCCTCCTCCTCCCCCTTCTCCCCCTCTTTCCTTCTCATTCTCCCTCCTTCTTCTCCACCCCCCTCCTCTCCGTCCCCCCTCCCTCCTTCTTCTCCCGGCGGGGTGCCGTCGGAGCGCTCGCCAGGGAGGCATCATGTGTACTCCTCCTCCTCCTCCTCCTCCCTCCTTCTCCTTCCCTGTCCTCTCTCCTTCCCCTCTTCTCACAGCCCCGTGGCGCGAAGGCTCACCGTGCCCAAGAAGCCCCGGGATGGCTCAGCTGCGCTTTTCGGTCATCCCGGCGCCCAGAAAGCTGTTTGCTTGTGCCACGCTCCTGGGAGAGTGCGGCGGAGGAGGCAAGATGAGGCCAGAAAAGGGGGGAGGGGGGAGGAATGGAGGGGGAAGAAAAGAAGCAAAGAGGTTGAGAGGAGGAGAATGAGGAGGAGAGGGCAGAAGTGGAGGAGGTGGAGAAGGAGAAGGATGAGGATGACAGCGATGATGATGATGATGATGATGATGATGATGATGATGATGATGATGATGATGATGATGATGATGATGATGATGATGATGATGATGATGATGATGATGATGTGGTGGTCGTGATTTTGATGGCGATGGCGACTGCGAGGACGATGCTGCTGCTGATGACGATATTGCTGCTGCTGACGATGTGGATGCTGCTGATGATGATGACGGCGACGACGACGACGTTTATGATCGGATGATGCTAATAATGATACCGGCGATGATGATGATGAGGTCGATGATCATGCTGTTGCTGCTGATGATAATGAGGACGTCGACGACGACGACCATGGTGACGAGTATCATGATGATGCTGATGATGATTATGGTGATTATGATGACTATGCTGATGACTATGATGATGATGATGATGCTGATGCTGATGATGCTGCTGCCGATGATGATGCTGTTGATGCTGCGGACGATGATTATGATGCTGCTGCTGATGCTGACGAGGACGTCGACGACGACGACGAAGACCATGATGACAATGATGCTGCTGCTGTCGATGATGATGCTGATGATGCTGATGATGATGCTGATGATGATCCTAATGATGATGACGATGATGACGATGATGATGCTGATGATGCCGATGCTGATGCTGCTGTTGATGATGATGCCGATGATGCTGATACTGCTGCTGATGGTGATGCTGCTGCTGATGGTGATGTTGATGATGCCCATGCTGATGCTGATGCTGATGTTGATGTTGATGCTGACCATAATGATGCTGATTCTGCTACTGATGATCCTGATTATGATGATGATGCTGATGATGGTGATGATGTTGATGCTGCTGCTGATGATGATGCTGATCATGATGCTGATGTTGATGCTGATGCTGATCATGATGTTGATAACGATGCTGCTTATAACGATGATGCCGATGCTGATGCTGATGGTGCTGCTACTGATGATGAGGATGACGATGTTGATGACGATGCTGATGATGCTGTTGATGATCATGCTGATACTGATGCTGATAATTATGATCCTGCTGCTGATGATGATTATTTGATTGTAATGCTGATGCTGATGATGATCATGATGCTGATGATGATGCTGATGCTGATGTTGATGCTGAGACTCACCATGATGATGCTGATGATGATGCTGGTGATGCTGTTGATGATGATCCTGATGATGATGCTGCTGATGATGATGATGATGACGATGATGCTCATAACGATGATGCCGATGCTGATGCTGCTGATGCAACTGCTGAAGATGCTGATGCTGATGATGATGCTGATGACGATGCTGATTACGATGCTGATGATGCTGCTGATGCTGTTGCTGATGCTGATGCTGATGATGCTGATTATGCTCATGATGCTGCTGCTGATGATGTTTTTTTGATTGTGATGATGCTGATGATGGGAATGATGATGATGTGGATGAAGATGATGATGATGATGCTGATGATGATGCTGCTGCTGCTGACGATGATGGTGATGATGCTGGTGGCGATGATGCTGCCGATGCTGACTCTGATACCGATGCTGAATCTGATGCTGATGATGCCGATGCTGATGCTGATGATGCTGGTGCTGCTGCCGTTGATGATGATGATTTCGATGACGATGCTGTTGCTGATGATGCTGACGACGATGCTGCTGATGATGACGTTTATGAGCGGATGATGCTAATAAAGATGCTGGCGATGATGATGATGATGATGCTGATGATGATGATGATGATGATGATGATGATGATGAGGTCGATGATCATTGTGTTGCTGCTGTTGATAATCAGGACGTCGACGACGACGGCCATGATGACGATTATCATGATGCTGCTGACGATGATTTTGGTGATTCTGATGACTATGCTGATGACTATGATGATGATGATGATGCTGATGCAGCTGATGATGATGATGATGATGATGATGATGATACTGATGATGCTGTTGATGCTGAGGACGATGATCATGATGCTGCTGCTGATGATGACGAGGACGTCGACGACGCTGACGAAGACCATGATGACAATGATGACAATGATGATGCTGCTGATGATGATGCTGATGATGCTGATGATGATGCTGATGCTGATCCTGATGATGATGACGATGATGACGATGATGACGATGATGATGCTGATGATGCCGATGCTGATGCTGCTGCTGATGATGATGCCGATGATGCTGATACTGTTGCTGATGGTGATGCTGCTGCTGACGGTGATGATGATGATGCCGATGCTGATGCTGATGCTGATGCTGATGTTGATGTTGATGCTGGCCATGATGATGCTGATTCTGCTACTGATGATCCTGATTATGATGATGACGATGCTGTTGATGGTGATGATGATGATGCTGATCATGCTGCTGATGATGCTGATGATGATGCTGATGCTGGTCACGATGTTGATAACGATGCTGTTTATAACGATGATGCCGATGCTGATGCTCATGGTGCTGCTGCTGATGATGAGGATGACGATGTTGATGCCGATGCTGATGATGCTGTTGATGATCATGCTGATGCTGCTGCTGATGATTATGATGCTGCTGCTGCTGATGATGATTAGTTGATTGTATTGCGGATGCTGATGGTGATGATGATTCTGATTATGATGCTGATGTTGATGCTGAGACTGACCATGATGATGCTGATGCTGATGCTGGTGATGCTGTTGATGATGATCCTGATGATGATGATGCTGCTGCTGACGATGGTGCGCATAACGATGATGCCGATGCTGATGCTGATGCTGCTGCTGCTAAAGCTGCTGATGCTCATGATGATGCTGATGACGATGCTGATGATGCTGATGATGCTGATGATGCTGTTGATGCTGATGATGCTGATGCTGATGATGCTGATGATGCTGATGATGCTGCTGCTGATGATGGTTGTTTGATTGTGATGATGCTGATGATGGTGGTGATGATGTGGGTATTAATGATGCTCATGATGATGCTGCTGCTGACGATGATGGTGATAATGCTGGTGGCGATGATGCTGCTGATGCTGTCTCTGATACCGATGCTGATGCTGATGCTGATGATGCCGATGCTGATGCTGATGCTGATGATGCCTGTGCTGCTGCCGTTGATGATGATGATTTTTACGACGATGCTGTTGCTGATGATGCTCCTGATGACGATGCTGCTGATGATGATGATGATGACGATGCTGCTGATGATGATGCTTCCGATGATGATGATGATGCTGTCGATGCGGATTATGATGCTGATGACGATGCTGATGAGGCTGATGATTATGTCAACGACGAGGATGATGATGATGATGATGGTGATGCGGATGCTGCTGATGATGCTGATCATGATGCTGGTGTTGATGATGATGCTGGTGGTGGTGAGGATGATGCTGATGATGATGATGATGATGCTGCTGCTGCTGCTGATGCTGATGCTGCTGCTGATGATGATGACGATGCTGATGCTGATGAATCAGTCTCAGTGAAGACAGTCTGGAGGCAATCCTCAACAGCTGGCTAGCAACAGCGCTCGGCAAGCCTGCATCTCGGACATATCAGCTGCAGCCAACCGCCGCAGCATGCCAGAGCATGAGGCCTCGGCAGGGCGCGTCAACCCCGCGCAGCGCAAGCGCAGCGGAGGCACGGGTGACCAGGCGTGGACCACCTTCTGGCTCCTGGCCTCTCGATGGTCTGTGTACCCCCGTTCCCCTTGGAGGCAGAACCATGGAGTGTATTGGCTACTCCATCGGGTCCACCTCCACCTATCGGCTGAGCACAGGGCCAGCAGGCGGAGGACAGCCACACCAGCATTCGCACGGCGCGCTTGTCGCATGGCGGCGACGCTACATTGGGCGGGCGACCTGGCATGCACCACCTTCTCGGCACCTTGCCTTGGGACGGTCTGTGCCCCCCAAGCCCCCCTGGAGACATGAACCTCGGGGTGTACGAGCTGCCCCTCTGGTTCGGCTTCCACCCTCAAGGCAGAGGCTCGAGCGGCGAAGGCGAGAAGCGGCAAGCGGCGGCCACAGTCGGCCGACTGGCGTGCAGCACCTTCCAGGCTCCTGGCCTCACAGCCTGTCTGTGCGCCCCGATCCCGTTGGGACAGAACGGTGGAGCGGCTACTCCAACGGGTCCCCTCCACTCTCGTGCGAGCTGGCCCTGTAAGATGGTCGCGAACAGAACAGCGGCAGCGAGACTGCGCCTAAACCGAGCTGCCTGCTGGTCGCACCGACGGGCGCCTGGCAACTGCATTAGCGGGCTTCGAAGCATGCACCACCTTCAAGCTCCTGGCCTATACGACGGTCTGTCCACCCTTCTAGGCCCTCGGGGGCAGACCGCGGAGTATACGAGCTACTCCCCATGCGGTCCACTGGCAGCGCCCTGATCGCTCGCAGCGGATCGGGCTAGGCGGCGGAGGGCGGCCGAGGTTACGCCACGCCACCGTCCAGGCACCTGGCCTCAGAGACGGTCTGTGCACCCTCAGCACCCCTTGGAGACAGCACCAGGATTGTACGAGCTACGCCAGCGTTTCGCCCTCCACTATCGCGCAGGCGGACGCTGTAAAAGAGGGTCGCGACCAGACAGAGACGAGCCAGGAAGAGCTAAACACCCTGGCCCCCAGGCCTGCGCCGTGGGCTCCTGGAGCGGTCTCAGCGCACGAGCGGTTGCGGGGTGCTTCCTCGGAGGCGCGCGCGCCCTCGGCCTCCCCGAAAGCTGCCGGCCAGGCCCTCGTCCAGGTCGGCCTCCCGCCTGCGGGTTTCTGCCTGCCGAGCCCGGCTCCAGCGGCGTGGCAGCCGCGTGAGGAGCCCG